CTATTTTTTGCTCTTGTACAAAGTTATATGGATAATGCAAATCTAGTGTGGAACCCTCATATGCTTACATTTTTAATAACTTCAATAAAATTCTAAAACTTTTTATTAAGCATACGGTTCATGCTTAATGGGATCAATCAGTGGGATGGCGATTATTATCGCTATTCATCTGACTATTGGCTTCATCATTTCTCTCTGTTTCCTCCTGAATCCAAGATTAAACTATCCACCGTTATCTTTGTTTGGAAACTGTTCCATAATCACATTGATTGTCCGGAATTACTAGGTTTAATTGGATATCGCGTACCTAATAATAGAACAAGAACAAAAGCAAGTCTTGCGTTGCCCTTCCATAGAACAACTTATGTAATGAGGACTTCTTTCTCTTTTGTCAGTAATGAATTCATTTAATGATTCCATTGATATTCATAATATCTGTAGTATTAAGATTACAAAGAGCCAGGTATGTATTTGTTATTACGAAAAAATAGTTAATATGTTCATATTTATTATATATTGTATGTACGTTTGATTTATAACTATTCAGAAATCGTGAGATGCGGTCTGGTGTGATGTAGGTTTCAGAAAAACATTTTCTTTATCGTGCCAACGTTTCGATCTTTATTGAGATCATTTTCTGGGCTCAGTGTTTGTTTTCTTTGTTATTGTGTGTCGTTTTGTTATTGAGTGCACTCTCAACACGACACGCAAGAATGGCACAATTACACAGAAGAAAAACACTTTGAGCCCTGAAGATGATCTCAATAAAGATCGAAACGTTGGCACGATAAAGAAAATGTTTTCTGAATCCTACATCACACCAGACCTCATCTCACTATTTCTGAATAATTATCGATTAACGGTCACTAATCACCACACATTTCTACACGTTTTATTTATAATTGTAAGTTGATATAATTATATGTATATGATATTGTTTTGTATTACTAGTTGGGCATTTGCCTGTTATTGTAATTATTTCTGAAATAGATAAACAGTTGCGGCATCCGACGCCCCTGTTATTATTGTTATTATTGTTATTATTATTGAAATTACAATTAAAATTACATTATTTCACTTTCATCTTTGTAAAAATGTTATAGGCTGTGTACACACTCACAACACTGAACTTTCATTTTTTTCAACTTTCTGGAATTATCTTTCTCATCATGCTTGATAGTATAAATTGAATTTGCTGCTAAAAGATCAACTTTTTTTGGAAATTTTTATCGTAAAAGTTACACGACCAGTTGAACAAATGTTTCATTTCGCCCGTGCCTGATATTACGGCGCTTCGGGCCAACACTACCGCTAAACAGGAAAGTTCTGCAGGTTTAGCCTATGTTAGGGCTTTGAATGAATTTAACTAATCGTAAATCTATTTCTTTAAATTGCGCAACGGCCATCTTTGACCCACTGTTAATTTCATTTAATAAGTTAATATTAATATTAAACGTGTTTGTATAACACTATAAATACGTGTAAAAATTGCAAGTAAATCAAGACATAGATTTGGGAGTTCATACTTGTAGTGACTTCCAAAAATATTCTTAAATTTTGTTTTCACAGTTTCTGTTTTCCTTACCTTATTCCTTTTTTTTTAAAGATAGTTACATATTACATAGGAGGAATATTACATATCAATGTTGAGACTAAAAACTGAAATTTATTTCTATGACTGCGCCTTTGGCCCAAGTGTAAAAACAATTCACTAGTTTTTGTGGTCCGCTTGATATATCTTTCAATTAATTAAGGTTTTTAGTTGAGATAACAAATTCAGTGTCACGAGTGGGATTCGAACCCACGACCTTCGGCTAGATACGCCGCTACACTACCACTTGAGCTATCGTGACATTGATCAACTCGGAACTAACTTCCCATCTCAATCCCACCTTTGGATTTTCCATCCTTTTTGCCATTTTTCAAAAGTTGTGTAATCTATTTGATTCTCGGCGACAAATGAAATGGACTCGGAGAGCTTTATCAAACTTTTTTATCTCAACTAAAAACCTTAATTAATTGAAACACATTAATTGGTCAAGCGTACCATGAAAACTAGTGAATTTAATAAGTAAAATTACTAAAGTCGCCGAGAATCGAACCCTGATTACGCGACACTGGAAAATGGCAAAAAGGAGGGAAAATTCGAAAGTTAGGTCGAGATAGGAAGTTGGTGTCCGAGTAGAGCGAAATCACGATAGCTCAAGAGATAGAGGAGCGGCGTATTTAGCCAAAGGTCGTGGGTTCAAAATCCGCTCGTAACACTGGCTTTCTTATCTCAACCAATACCTTACTCAAAGATTAATTAATTGAAGGAAGTTAGTTGGTCCATCGGACCACTAAAAATATTGGATTTAACAAGTACAACGAAGCATAAATTCACTAACAGCTCCCCGTGGCCACTTGATAAGTCGCCGAGAATCGAACCCTGATTACACATTTGAAAAATGGCAAAAAGGAAGGAAAATTCGAAAGGTAGGTTGAGATGGTGCGTTGGTGTCCGAGTGGATCGAAGTCACGATAGCTCAAGTGGTACAGTAGTGGCGTATCTAGCCGAAGTTCATGGGTCCGAATCCCACTCGTGACCCTGACTTATCTCAACTAAAAACCTTAATTAATTGTAAAAACAATTTTTTGGAGTCATCGCTTTGAAGCAAAACTAAGTTGTAAGACATCAGGTTTTTAAAATTTTCTTTAAATAATGTTTAAACTCAAATATTTTTTGTTTGTAAATAGTATTTAAACTATCGTATGAGTGGTAGAATTTTATTGTTTAATGTTTACATAATGTTCCGAAATAGTTTTTATTGATTGACCTACCGCCTACGATACAATACAAAGTCAAGGACGTTTTTTCTTTGTACAGTACGAGGAATATCTAGTACACTGGGTCTGGATAAAAAACGCTCTCTTTGGTGCATGTAAAACTTTTTTTTATAACAACCGTGCAACGATTATTCTTTTATAAAATCGTATAAAAGAATTACTATTAAAACATTGGGAGTAGTAATGAGCTGCTCTCGCAAATAGTTTAAACCTGAAGAAGAATTGCGGCACGCTTCGCAATGTTCGTTATATATTCATATTTTGAAATGTACGGTTTTAAGTATAATGAATTGACAAATTAAATTTACAGTGAACGATATAAAATTCGTTCGTTAACAGCAGTAGTGGCGTAGGTGGCCGCAACGGTTTAGACGTTGACACGGCGCTCATCACTGTAAGATAAAGGTCCCGGGTTCAAATCCAGCGGCCCTGCATTGACCCGCCATACTTACAAATGGGCTTTTTTTTTCAAAAACACCGACACCACGAGGGCTGATATAACTTCTGCTGTTGCAAACCCTCGTAAAAAAACGAAAAAAAAACCAGTAGTAGTATAGTATAACAGTAGTATAAAATATAACTTCACTAATTTCGTGGTCAGCTTGACCAATTAATTAAGATTTTTAGTTGAAATAAAAAAGTCAGTGTCAGGAGCGGGATTCGAACCCACGATCTTCGGCTAGATACGCCGCTGCTCTACCACTTGAGCTATCGTGTCCTCGATCCACTCGGACACTAATTTCCCATCTCAACCCCACCTTTTTGAATTTTCCTTCCTTTTTGCCATTTTTCAAATATAAATAAAATATAACCTCCATCCGTTTATCTTGTACAATGCAGCCAACACACCTACCCATGTAGCTTAAATTTACTATACTAAGTCAGCAACAAAATTCGTAAATTATTCAGACGTGAGATGTGGTATGGTGTGATGTAGGTTTCAGAAAAACATTTTCTTTATCGTGCCAACGTTTCGATCTTTATTGAGATCATCTTCAGGGCATGGGATTTACAAACATTGTTTAAATTTAACAAATACATGTAGGATGTGGAAAAAAGTGAATTTATAGAATGCAAAAAAAAATATTTTTTTGTATTCAATCAAAGTATTTCTACTCACTCAATTCATATAAATTCACTTTTTTACACATCCTACATGCATTTGTTAAATTTAAACAATGTTTGTAAATCCCATGCCCTGAAGATGATCTCAATAAAGATCGTAACGTTGGCACGACAAAGAAAATGTTTTTCTGAAACCTACATCACACCAGACCGCATCTCACGATTTCTGAATAATCATCGACTAACGGTCACTAATCACCAAACACAATTCGTAAATTTAAATCTACAACAATTACAAATTATCTTTTAAACAAGATGATAGTAGTAATCCTGATGGTAGGTATATAAAAACCTATAAAATATAACTCAGTTTATGGACAACTTATTAACAAACAGTAAGTAAAGGATAATAAATAATTACGTTGGTTGTTTTAATATTCCACTGTATATAATACTAAAAATTTGTATAGGTATATAAAAAATTGTAGTATGTGTAATTAATTTTGTTTATAATTTATTAATTCATATGAAGAATCAAGAAAATATGGCTTACTTGGTGGTATATTGCAAAGGTAGTAGGGGCAGTATCATGGACATGTATTATTGCCTTTGTTAGGGGCCTAAGGGTGTTTCTAAGCCTGGAGCAATGATTCACCTTGTTTTATTGTCTTCATAAACCACCGATCAGGGACGACCACGACACGTTTTCCTACTTTTTTCCTTTTTCTCCGGGGACATGAGGTATATTATATGTTCGTGTCACTGCCGGCGCTGGGAAAACAGAATGAATGGTTATATAACCGGTGACAGCGCTTAGACGTGAAAAGTGTTAGGTGTTGGATCCCGGGGAAAATGAGATTAATAAAAATACCCAAGTGAAAGGAAGAATAAGCGTTTGAGTGTTTGCAAAGATGTTTTCGGACAGCTAGAAATTTGCTTTCGTGACGTTATTCTCACAAGAACAAACTATGACTAGATTATACGACCGTAAACTCGATTCTACATAAACATGTCAGACATTTTAATAACCTCTCTCTTTGCACAGGTTAAAAATGACAATAAAAAACAGAAAATAATAAGAAAATAGTAAATAACAAACTGATTCTTACTTTTGGGCCAAAGCACGCGTGTGTCCGGCGAGAAAGGTTGTTTGATGCGTAACACTTAATTGAAGGGTGCCATTCCTTGCCTCCATATAGATACCATGTAGGAGTGCCAATCCATATGAGAATTGTGTTTAAGCACAACAGATTATTTTCGTCCCCTGTTCCGATTTTACGAGGAAATAGGGTTGTTTTATTTGTAGTTGTTTTAATTCACTGATATATGTATTTTTTGTGGCCACTAGTGTGTGCTCAGGGTGAATGATTTATTAGCGTAAATGTGCAGTGTCGTAAGGCCGATGGCGGAATATTGACGTCCCTCAATATCGACCCTCAATTATGTTAGTTATAGTGGAATATTGGCTACTCCACCACACTAACTGAGTTTTAATCCTTTTTAAAAAGATAGTTCCTACTCACAGTAAGTTGTTTTCCAACGATCCGGATTTCAAGCTCTTTAGCTCATAATCAGGTTGAAGGACTTCTACAACCACGTCTCGCGACATGAATTGCCAAAGTGAAACCGCTGATACCTCCGCCAACGCGACGTTCCAATTAGCAGCTGACTTTTTTAATGGCGCTCAATTTGAACGTGCGAAACGCGGAAATTATAACACAAATAAATAACACCACACTCACTCCATCATTTATCATTTCTATTAACTGAGTTTTATGGTATTGAAAAAATAAGAATGTATTTAAGAGTAAGTGAGAGTGGGAATTTAGATTGGGTTAGGGCTGAAAGCACCTAGGTGTTGATCTCACCTGGAGAGATGGCTGGACAGAAAGGCCGAGATCTAACCTTGACTGTTAGCACCCGAGTTGGTAGATCCTCGGGGCACGCCGGTAACAAGAAATAAGGTCATTATAATTTTTTTTCAAATATTTCCGGTCTGCGTTTGATTCAGCGGTTCGCGAAGCTAGTTACAATAAAATATTATTGCTAGGAGTGTCAACAAAATTAGCTGAACTTACAGAACAATACTACACTAAAAATAAGTCATGTATTTGGACAAACGATGGCCTAACAACAAATTTTGAACGCTAAAATGGTCTGAAACGGGGTTGGCTGTTTTCTTAAAATGAGGACAGGTAACGTGTGCCAGGCCTACCAGCTCCCTATTAAGAGGCCAATGACTCCTCAACCACGTGTTTGACACTGAGTGACTTGTTTCTGCAAGCAGGTATCCGTGTGTCGATCGGATATGGCATATCCTTTCACTTGTGAGCACGACATTTTCCTTGCGTTTCGGACCATCGGATGGCCATCGCTCAGTCATACTTTTGACATGCAAGAGCTTCTCGGACAATCCGGCCCATTGATTCGCCATTATTGTTCACATTTGTCTAAATCATGAATACGTAGGCAGTGTAAATACGATTTAATTATGCGCTGTCTACATTATGCAGATGATATTGTAATATTACCTAGTCAATCGCTTACATTAGCAGGCGCTTTGACTGACTAGCGCAAACACATTTTATAATCCCAGGGAAAAGTTTTCTTCTAGATGTTTGAAGAATTATTAGAAGACCAGAAAACCGTGCTAGTAATAACGAAAAAACAGTAATCACCGCACAGACTTTCGTTTGAAACATCGTCGAACCGGGACTGTTCCTTTTAGATCGGTCTTGGCACGTAATCCATCATCTCGATGATGGCGATAGAGTGGAATGTGATGTTTTCCGTTCTTGCGGCTGAGGTTCGATATGTAGGAATCAAAGGCGTCACGATGGATTTTTAACTAGATTTTTGCAAACATAAAATAATCTATTACAAGATTTCGGATACGTTTAACACGTTAAGATATAAAATGATCCGGTTAAAAAGAAATTAATAACTAAATTTAACTGTTCTTTCTGAGATGGTAGGAGCTGATTCCATCGAAATTCAAGCCGTTTCAGCAAAGAACATTTCCCATTCCACCTTGAGTTACTCTCCGCGGAACCATCCTTAACCAAACGAGGCTCCCGTACCACGACCCAAAGGATGATAAAACGACCTTTCTTATCATTCCACACCGGTATTGTCTGCCATAAATCTTCCTTTTTTGACAAGAATTTTGACTTTGTTTTGATTGACTGGAAAATAAATAAGAAAAGGTATATTACCCACAACCCTATTTGCAGATAAAGTACTGAAATGACATTCATAGCCTGGGTCGTTTTTATTTTTGTAACATGAAAAATGAAATATGTCAAAATAAAGGGTGTAAAAAGAACAAAAATGATCATATTTTGATTTATATTGGCCTTTTCTAACACAACAGATAGATCATACCTTTCATCCATTATAATATGAACAAAGAAGAGATGCCTAAATCAAAACATGTGAACTCACTTCATCATGGCAAACCTATCCAGGAGCAATGAAAACAACCCTACTAATTACCATAGAAATACTGCTAAATTTACCTCCAATGGTAAATAATGTATGCAAGGAGAAGCGAGAAAAAGCTCATTTAGCTCCACAAACAATCAAACTGGATGGAAAGTAAACTGAATACGCGAAAAAGCTAACACAACTTACAAAAATAACCACTGAACGAATTAAATTCACCAATGACATTGGCATGTCATCATTCAATGAATGATCCGTAATTATCACAGGTTCATAACATCACAGACCACAGGAGGAAAAGTTGTATTTAATAAGGTAATTTTTCGTTTTTCTTTGACCAGAGTTTTTTAAGTGCTTAGCAAATAGCAAAACATTTCATGGTCCCGGATATCAGCGAAATCAGTTAAAACATCGGAGCGGACTTATCAAGTTACTGTTTCATTTTCCTTTTTTAAAATTTGTATTGGGACTATAGATACCCTATAATACAACATTTTATCGTTTTCCCATTAATTTTGAAGAGAAAGAAATATTTAAATGGAAAGTATTAAAAATTCTATCCATATCGAGGTATTTAATAATTTGCTTTACGCTATGTCGATGTGCTGTATGGGGAATAAATAAAATTTCAATACTCACAAAGCCTAGTTTGACGGAGCAATCTTTTATTAAGTTAATCTCCTATTGACAAGGGCCCTGGAAAAAAATAAAGCCAATAAGTGACAAAAAATAAGCTAAAAGTATGGTAATAAAACTTCTTAGAAATAAAATACCATATTTCATACATAAAATCCGTTTTCCTTCATTTGTATATAAAATTTTTATGTATACAATTACGAAAATAAAACGAGATATAAATTTGTTATTGAGATAATAAAATGAGGAAACTACGAAGCTTGTATGGTTACTATGAAAATGTCTCTTTGTTTCCCGAAATTAATTAAATTAGTAAATTTAAAACTTAACTTTTACTTATTGCTGAACTTAACACAAATATAAATAAATTTAGAAAGAAAGCAAACAATAATGGTGATGGCCGGATCGTCCGGCTATTGCAAATAGCATGTCTGAACATTGGTTCTCTTGGACCGAAAGGGATGGATCCTGTTAACCCGGCTGAGGATAGGCTACACCCGACTGTCACATGGATTCCTGCTTTTGGATCAAAACCCGGGTACTTTGTGGTGAAAAGTTGCTCAGTTTGTCAGACTTGGTCGAGTAGTTCTTGGTCGACATAAAACTAGCTCTTGGGCAGTGAAGAGAGTGGGTTGTTCGGTCCTCCATTCCGATTTTTAAGGAAATAAATATTATACAGAGGGTGTCCTTTTTAGGTGGCCCGACTAAATTTCTCTTCAACCAGTGATTTTATCAAAAAACCAAAAAATTCATGTTTAATATTTTTAATTTGTTTATATATAAATATTTATCTTTCAACGAGGAAATGTTGGAAGGGTTTTTAGATTTTTCACAGAATAAAATTAGAGATTTACTCCGGACTTTTTAAGCCGTATCGCTTTCTTGTTGTCCAGGGACTTCGGGACTCTGATTATGACAGGCGTCTAACGTTCCATGCAAAAATGTCGATTTGGGAGGCTGAAGAAAACTAAATGCGTGTTTGAAAAACAATGACAGAATGTAAAGAATAAAGACAATTATGTTTACTTTAGTGCAGAAGCAAATTATTGGAATTAATAACGAAACAAACGAAATGCGTTTTTTTCAAACTTTTTGCCATAACTTTGTCGTTTTCGACCCAATTAAAATCCGATTGCACCATTGTTTTCAGCGAAAACAATCCTTTAAAATGTTGTGTCAGGTCGTATTTGATATTTTGGCCTGAGGTCCACTGTATAATTTTTCTCCGCAAAAAGGTAAAAAATTGAACCTAAACTAAAAAATATTAAACACGTATTTTTTTTATAGCGTCATTGGTTCAAGTGAAATTCAGCCGGCCATATAAAAAAGAAACCCTGTATATTATATACATTTATTATGTATCTCTACAGTGTGTATGTGCGTATTTATTTGTTTTTTGCTGTGTGAATGAAATGAGGGGGAAGATGGAATATTGAGTACCCCATCGGCCTATATGACTACATTGTCAGTAGCTCGCCATAAAAAATGTATATTAAACTATTTAAAACTATTTAAATAATTAATCCAATTAAAAAGACATGTTGATTTTGTCGTGAAAAGTGAATGAAAAGGGTGTATGAAGCAATTTTCTTAAAAGCGTTCCCGCCGGTAAACAAGACTTGTTATCTGACTCCTTTCGCCAGAAAGTCATGATTTTATAATTTAAAAGTGAAATGATAAAATATTCATTGTATGAATATTTAGCGTGGATAACAACAAAAGGAAATTATCTTGGGATCTCGTTAAATTTCAATGCGGAAACCTCTTAAATCAGTCCTGGATACATTTTCCATCGTCGGGAAACTAATAAATTTATAAAGGTAAATATTGAAGTGAATTGTTGTCTATCATCCTGCACGATGCTTATCCTCTCTTGTTTTGTCTGTCAGGCGTGTTTTGGCGTTTCGTCATCTTTATACGTAGTTTTTTGTCAGTCGTTTTCTTTTCAAACGCGTACAAAAAGTGAAAGGTACGTTATCTTTGTTCTCTCCTCGGTCTTGATGGATTAAGTCTGGGCTTTTGTTTCTAGGTTATTGTATTCGTCAGTTCTTTTCTTTTTTATGTTTCATAGTGTTTAATGGATTGATTCCTGTGTATATATCTGATTAATTTGCCTGTATGTCTTTTTCCCCAGTCTGTAATTCTTTTACGACATGAATCACTTCTAATCAAAT